TCACTTGGGTTGTTACCGACATCTGGTGAAAATTTCATGTCATTAGCACCTCTAGTAATACTGTATATTTACTGAGAAAAATGTTGACGTGTTCAATACTTATTTTACCCGCTGTATTTACCATTCTGACACCCTATTAGCTTGTACACAACCCATCACAGCTGCACGCCGTTAAAAAATATATTTTTTGCAGAAGTCACCTCCCAATAAATGCCATTTTGGAAAATCTAACAGCTCACTTTTACTCAGTACCTTTTACTTTTATTACACAAGTAGATTTTGTGTCAGAAATTTACTTTTGATACTTAAGTACAAAAAATATCAGATACGTTTAGACTTTTACTCAAGTAATATTTTTAGAGAAGACTTTAAATTTTYTCAAAGTATTTTTATGATAAGATACTTGTACTTTTACTCAAGTATCATTTTGAGGTACTTTAAACAACACTGCGCACAAGTAATAAGATCATAGGAGTTGAACAATGCTCACTTACAGAACAGTTTAATAGACAGATCACCAGGAAAATTAGCATTATTCTTGCTGACAGCTCTCATCCTTTACACACTGAGTTCCAGTTTCTGCCTTTTGGCCACTGGCTCAGACTTCTCTGTATGAAACATAACCGGTACAAATATTCCTTCATCCCTATAGCTATTTCTCTCTTTAATAAAGGATAAAGTGCGGGGACTTGCTTCTGACTGTTGGGGTTCTTTGATACCAATGTTTGTAGTAACRGTTCACTGATTTATATTTGTTGTGTTTCGGTGCACTGGATTGTATTTAATTTGTTACAACCTTTTAAATTTTTGTATACATGTTTTTAACTTAGAACTTTTTTATGTCTTGTGTGTATATGAACCATGCACTTGCTGTAGCATTAATTGCCCTTTTGGGACCCGAATAAACCTGAACCTGAACTGTTGCTGTTCTATCAGCTCCAACCAGTCTGGCATCAACAAGACATTTGCTTCTACTGAACTGCTGCTCACTGGATATTTTCTCTTTTTCAGACCATTCTCTGTAAACCCTAGAGATGGTTGTGGGTGAAAATCCCAGTAGATCAGCAGTTTGTGAAATACCCAGACCAGCCCGTCTGGCACCAACAACCATGCCACGTTCAAAGTCACTTAAACCACCTTTCTTCCTCTTTCTGATGCTCGGTTGGAACTGCAGCAGATCGTCTTGGCCATGTCTACATGCCTAAATGTTGCTGTCATGTGATTGGTTGATTCAACATTTACATTATGAGCAGTCGGACAGGTGTACCTAATAAAGTGGCTGGTGAGCGTATATTCAATGAAGTACACTACAAAGACGATCAAAAAGAAAAAATCAGTAGGTCCTCTGGATGGGTTCTTCTTTAGTGAAACGTTTCGTCTCTCCTCCAAGAGACTTCTTCAGTCTGATGAGTTTCAGGTGAACTCAGTCTTATAAGCACTGCCTCCACATGGTGGACAAAGAGMTCAGTCACATGCAAAGGAGGGCAATTGCTTAGCTCATTGGTTTGGATGCTGTGTTTCTTAGGTGTCGTGTCATGTGTATGTAGTGAATGCAGGCGGGGCTCAAAGTCCCCTTCTTTTTGTTTTGACCTTGTTGTTGTTGACCTTGTTTTAAAACAAAAACAAGGGGACTTTGAGCCCCGCCTGCATTCACTACATACACATGACACGACACCTAAGAACCACAATATCCAAACCAATAAGTCAGGTGATGGGGCACATGACCCTCTCTGAACAATATAACTAATCAAGCCTATTGTTAGGCGATGGCCCCCTTTTGCATGTGACTGACCTATTTGTCCAGGTGGAGGCAGTGTTTATAAGGCTGAGTTCATCTGAAACTCATCAGACTGAAGAAGTCTCTTGGACGAGAGACGAAGCGTTTCACTAAAGAAGAACCCATCCAGAGGACCWACTTAATTTTTCTTTTTGATTTTTTTCTACCTGGATTACTGAGATGCATCAGGACACTACAAAGACGAGACATGTAATGGTGCCTTCACAGATGTGCATTAATACACCTTCATACCATCGGCCGATGCTGGTTTTTAACTTTTGCGTTGTTGGCAGTCCGGACAGTTTTCTCAAACTAACATGTTGCTCTGATGTTTGCAGGGTGGCCAACCTGTATTTCCTCTTCCTGGCGCTGCTCAACTGGGTGCCGGTTGTGGAGGCATTTGAGAAGGAGGTTACTATGATCCCCCTGCTCGTGGTCCTCACGGTTATCGCCATCAAAGATGCACTCGAAGACTACAGGCGCTACTTGTTCGACAAGAAGGTCAACAACAACGTGGTGCGAGTCTTCTGCGGGTGAGTGAACCTTGGCTGTTGATTCAGATCTGATTCACTGTTTTAGGTTTCTGATGAGAATAGCTGGATCAAAACCGRGGCTCTTCAGTGGAAGTCTGCAGCTTGCAGGCGTTTCAGCTGATTTAGAATGTTGCAAAACAATCAGTGTGAGACTTAAGCTGCGTTTCCATTGCAAATGTGCGCAAAACTTTGTCGATATTCTGTTAATGTCGAAAAACACAGTTTCGCAACTGCGGTGTTTCCATTAAGTAAGAAATGCTATTAAAGTCACACATGAATATGTTTGTTCTCGCGATAAGCCATTACAAACATGGCGGCAATGAATGTAAACACATAGCATGTTGCTACCGCGACACTAGCGCTCATCATCAGAGGAGACGTCGGCGTCTTTTATCGAGGCTTTCCAGAGACAAGTCCCTACTTGGGAGCGGCTACATATGCTGTGTTTTTGGGAAATTGTAGTCTGTGAGTTTACTATTTTATACTACTTCTGTGATATTACTACTATTTCTACTTCCTGTTATCTTCTTCGTCATCGTCTTTTCGCCAGTATAAACAGCTGGTTGTTGATCACGTGACTCCCGTGATGCGAAGTGTTTCCATTGCAGTTTTGCGAAAAACACCAATTTTGATACGGCCGAAAAACCACCTCATCCTAGCGCAAAAACATTTCGTCAAAGAACGTAATTTTTTTTCGAAATTGACGTGTTTCCATTGAGCAAATTTATTTTCGAAATTCTAATTTGCACATTTTCATGGTCAGTGGAAACGCAGCTTGAGTTGCTCCTGTGCTATAGGTGGAATSTCAAATGTTGCAAAATTTTGAAGGTTTGAAACAAGCTTGGATCAAAAAGGAATGAAAGGAATTAAAACTGGTTTTAGTTTAATTGGGCCTCATGCAAGAACATGTTCGTATTCATATCCTAAATTTCTCTTTTGTTCGTACGAAGGGTTCGTACGAACATGCCACGTCAGATTCAACAAACTCTTCTATCTTCAGGAAAAGTGTGTAAATGAATTCCACCTGTT